CTGCTTTTGGATGAAAGCCACAAAAATATTCCTTTGGGGCTCACGTATGGGTGGTCCTGTTTAGGCTGTGTTATGGAATGCAATTTCTGTTTCTTCTGTACATTCTTGAGCCCCGTGTCACTTGTTGAAACACGTTTTCTTTTACCCCTCTGCCGTTCTCCAGACCCAAAGTCAACACTGTACAATCTATATTCTTGGGTCTTTTGGTAGTCACGTAAATAAGTTCAAATAAAATATTTAATAAATAACAAAAAAAACACGACGTTTCGATCACAACACTTTTTTTTGCCTCCTGATGATCGTTTGTGTTGTGATCGAAACGTCCAGGTTTTTTTGTTATTTTTGTTATATTTTCTTTGAATACTATACTCTTTGGTTCTTTCGGTAAAGTCACGTAGGCAGAAAATAATAATAGATCACGACGTTTCGATCGCAACACAAGCAAACGTGACTTTACCGAAAGACCCAAGAATATGAATTCCTGCAGTCACGAAAGCTTTAAGACTACAAACTAGCTCACATGGAGAGTTGTTATTTCACCGTCATTGTCACCGTAATTATACCGAGAAACTCCCTATCACTGTTAAGAAGACATTAACACGGACTGAGGACGAACAAACAGCATCCTCAGCGATTTGTAAAGAATTTCGTGACACCCGCACCAGGAACATCTACCACGCACACAACCAGGCCCGGTCCCTATGACAACCCTTGCCAACGGGAGAAACACTCGCCTTTCAGCATGATCGGAGTGAGCTGGGGAGGAGTGAAGCTGCTAGGCTAGGTTTGCAAATCACGCTGTAACAACACTTCCAAGGCACTCGTTTTGGCTTCAAAATACTGCATATGTGTGTCCGCTGTTCGCTGTGTGCGCAACATGTAGTGCTGCTGCGTGCAATGTTCTCCCTCCGCTCACCTCGTGTGCCAAGATGCCAAATACAAATGTGACTGGGAAACAAAAGCACAGAAACTACATTTTAAGCAAAGCTACGGTAGAGAGAGAGTGCGCCACAAGTGAAAATTTCGACTTTGTAAGGTTTCATAACACTGGGTCCTGTTTGACATAGTTACAAACAAAAGGTGCAGAGCGTTGAAATGGGTCATTCGAGGTATTATTAGTAGATGGAGATGTTGTGGCGAGTATTAGGTCTCAGAGCCTCGCTGGCTTTGTGTGCTCAATACGCTGGCGGTGATGAAAAGGGAGCCTGGAGCTATTGGCATGAGCGAACGAACTCTGAGCTGGTAAGCCATTGAATGTATATACGGGGGGGGGGGGGAGGGTTTGAAGGGTAATCTTCTATTTTTCAGCCGAAATGTTGTTCACTGACAGTTGCCCCAGTTTTTGGCTGTCCCATATTGTTACAGGGGTCACACAGCCCTGTATCGCTGGCATCATAAAAGTAAAGTGTTGTTGGTACACCTGCCATGCCGAGTTAATATTTGTCTACACACGCAGCGTCAGTGTATAGTTTCACACACATTGCGCCCGTGTAATGTACCATGCACCGTCGTGACATACACTCTGCACCAGTATATGCATAGGTGGTGGGTGTGGTGGAGTGTGGACACACTAGGGTCAATGGCGGTTGTGTGTGTTTTTGTGTTGGAGGGGAAGAAAAAGAGTAAACGCACAGGCCACAGATTGGGGTGGAGCAGTTAATAAATCTCTGGGGATGTTTTTCTGGTGTCCCTGTACTACTGAGCCGCAGTTTGTTTAGAAGGGCACGGCTATATTGGCCTTCTGTGTGCAAAATTCCAAATTTCTGTGGCAACCGCATTTCTTGCATCATAATTCTGACTGCTGAAGGCGAGCTTTGTGTACTTCGACAAGATGGGTTCTTTGACTCTATCATCGACGGTGAGTTACCTTTAATCACCACTAGAGCCCAGTGTGAACTTATTCCGTTATTAATGTCACAATAATAATGACTTCATTCAGCAGTGGATAGAGAGTGGCACCTATTTGTTTTAATAGGCTGTGCTATTTAATGATAATTATAATACATTACCAGTGAATCGGTAAAAATATATTTGACAATATTTTTATGAATTAAGCTATACCACTGCCAAATATGTTACCGTTCTGGAACAATGAATATCAAGTCAAGAGTTGAAGTAATTCTTTCCGTAAATGATTATCTGCATATGGTGAACGGAAAGTCCCTGTAAAAGCTATTACTGTTGATCTTGTACTCATGTATGTGAATGAGTAGAGGGGTTTCCCACACACGACATTGCTGCAGTATAATTATTTTAGGTACAGGACATTATACATTCCACACCCCATTTCTGGGATATAGCCTACAATTGAAAGAACAGCAGGGCTCCAAATCCTGAGACTGTGAGTTTTAATTCCAGTCAGGGTCAATTCAGCCCATCATTCCTCCAGATCGATACAATAAGCCCCTTTTGGTGAGGCTCCATTTTCTTCTGAGAAGCTATTTTGCATTGCAGAGGATGGACTCTACCATAGGAATGTGGAATTTACACCAATAGCTCAAAATTTCCAACAGAGATGACCAGAGTCATGTTCTTGTTTGATATGGCGGGACATTGATATTCTCAGAGTGTGTTTAAAATGAGGCGTGTGTACTCTTTCAATTTAGTTTGTTTGGCACAGTGTTCAAGTATTTTCTTGCTGAAATATTTAGCTTGATGTTGAATGCAGATAACCATGAAACCACGAGACTCATTGGCTTGTTGCACAATATCTGGCATAAGCTGACTCTGTAGCGACTACACACAGTACTTAGCCTACCAATGTGTTACTGCCTGCCAGAGCTGTTTCCCAGATGAGATGCACAAGCCATCATATGTAATCGGATATTTTGAAAACTTTGGGAACGTACTGCTGCAGTGTATGACACTGGTTGTCCAGTGCTCACTTTAAGACGATTAATGTACCGTACTGTACGCTGTGCAGACATTATAATCAAACGCATCTATGTCTATACAGCATACATAAAGTAAAGCCATTAAATATGGTAATTTCAGTCCTATAAATGATAAATAGGATTTTTTTACTGATGTAGGGAAAACTTCGCCGAGTTACAGTTCTTTCTCGTTGGTCCTGTCCAGATATTTGGAAAAAATTGGGTTTAAGTTTAGCTTTACAATAATTAAGCAATTCAAGTATTGTCTCTACTGCATTTCTTTTAGACCATATGTTTAATTGATAAAATGAAGTTAGTGTTCACTCTAATATTTTTCAGTCAACAATTTAAAAAAAGCAATTAAATTATAGTACTGTACCTTCTTTTTGTTATGTTTATCGGACCAGATTACAATATAGGAAGTGATCATAGAGAAATGTTGTGTTTAAACCATAAAGAATAGCTTGAATAAAAAACAATCTCAATCTGCATAACTCATGAATAGAAGTATTTTGGCTGCAGCCCAACCTGAAATGGCTATATGAGTGTCAGTCACTCATAATTAGGTGGGCATCATTGGACATGGCAGTGACAGAGTGTGCAGCATGCAATTGTTCACATAATTTTTGTTACATAATCAGGCTGGTATGACCCGCATGCGTCTACATAAATGTGAGCTATAGATGAGCTTAATCAACGTTTTACCTCCTCTCATTAATGTATTTTATATATACTGTATATATCCCGAGGTGGTCAGGTTGATGAAGGCACACATTGGCACTCAGTTGACACAGCTGAGGTTCTGGATTTGGCTCCTCATCAGAGATAACCAATTTCGCAGGCAGAGTGAGAATATGGTCTCAGCTCGGTCACCATTAACCGCATATACAATCTATTGTGCACTTCGTTGGGCAAAGCCTGGCATTGAGGGCCTTTGTTGGATGGCGATGCCATGGCAGCGCCTCCCTTAAAGGCAGCATGTGATGGGGCATCTGTTGGGTGTTATAAGGTAAACCGTTAGTGAGCCATCGAAAGTAGTTTTATGGCGTCATCCTCAGGAAATGATCCCTGGCGAACAATGTATACATGTGGAATCTGATTTGACTAAGAAAAAGCACAATCAGCTTTTTACATGAACTGGTCATTTTCAAGATAAACAGCACCTTGTAATGTAATTTGCCTGTTGTGGGTTTTTTTGTAAGTTTGTGTGATTTATATATTTAATTAGGTGCTGCCGGGAAACGCTAAGTATTTTCACATGATGGGTGTGCATACGTTTCAAATATATCGACCCACAGTAACCCCCAGGCGGGGAAAAATATGGCTTCGCTTTGAACGTCCCATTTCACGTGTACAGCTCAGGAATGTATTTTTTTACAATGCATGAAGGAGAAAATGAGAGTGCTTTAACTACAAGGCTTACCACTAACATTTGGCACCAAATGGTACCCAATCATGATTAATTGGAGTCCCTGAATAATTAACCCTCAAATAATTGTGTGCATTATTTTTGAATTACTCTACAGTATTCACATGGTATGCACAGTAGATTATAAAGCGCCCTCAATTTGTGAAGTAATCAACATCAGAGGGCATTTGAACTCGTGCAGTGATCGTGACCATGGCGTGTGCTAAAACAGGTGTGTTTAAGTAAGAGATGCGGTTAACCGCAGGCTGTGAAAGAGAAACTGACATCCTGGTCCTTGTGTTTGGATTGTTCAAATTTCGCTGGAAACCCCGACAATCGATTACCAAAAAAGTAAATCAACCTACTGAGAATTTTCAGTGAAAGGAAAAGCAACCTGAGGAAGCTCACGTGGCCGCCTTGTGAATTAAAATACTACTATAAACTATAAAAGAATGAACAGCGATTCCTTTACGTCGCTGCGGTCTTCCTGCTTGTGCCGTGAGAAACCCCCTCTTCCTCATTGTACTGTGGCGTAAATTTCCCACTTACATCTCTGTGCTGTGTGGTTCCCGGATGTCTTTATTTTCAACTGCCATCGCAGTGTTTCTTGTAATACGATCCGTGGAGCTTTATGAAAAGTACCCGCAGTTGGCCCAGTCATGAAGATGTTCTTTCAGAGCTTAAAAAAAAACCGTGTCCGTAATGTAAAAAGCTACTAAAAGAAATACTTTTAAAATGGAAAAGGTGGTGTTTTTTGACTTAAGTATTTTCATGCTTTGCGTTGTTTGTGCCAAGTATGGTTAGTTGCTGTGGCATTTGTTGGTTTAGGGTTACAAATTATTTGAATTTTTTGTCTACGGGAATTCGCTGTTGTAACCAACTGTGGGTTATGGATTTTTGTTCGTGTACATTGTAGTTCATCATTACCAAAACACATGATTAATCTTTGTGTGACAATCGATCAATACTGGCAACAACAGGTTGCACATCTTATTTATTTAGGGACTTCTCATTTCACAACCTCCTAAGCACACATCATCTATTTAGTTGGACAGTGACCCTGAGAGCATTTGGAATCGAAATGAAATCAACCTGTCAAATCAAGGTGAAACTTGGGTTGAATTGAAGAAATAGAAGTGGAAGGACCTATCAATTGAATGCAGCACACCTTGTTCTGTGCTCAATTTATCGTAATTATTACTGTACTCCGATTTGCCAATCGCATTTCGGTAAATGTGCAGACGTTGGCTAACGTTTCCTGATATCAGACCAATGTTGGCACAACGTCAACCAACGTTCGCCCAAACGTCAACTAACGTTAGCCCAAGGTTGCATTTTTACTGGGATATGCCAACAATTCATGAAATGCACGAGCCTAATGTTAAACTTTAATGCAGTAACACCTTAAAGTGACATGTGCATTAAGGCATATTCAATATATATGATTGCTCTTAAATTTGTGCTTGTCGTGTACCCCCAGAAGTCCTGTTAACTGTCGTTGTAGCATTAAAGTGAAGTAACACTTTACATCAACATGTAACAGAGGTGGAAGGCTGATGCTTATTGTGATGTGGGAGGCTGAATATATTGTTACGATCGGTTTGAAGAATGTATTATTGGTAAAATAAAAATTTATAAAATGTCATTAGCAATAAAGAGCTAAAGCAGAGCATGCGGATGGTTCAACGAATTCCATACAATTGACGAGTGCATAGCTTTAAAAATGCAAAGTGCAAAAAACACAAAGCAGCAGCATGCTTAGAAACCTTGTGTAATCATACCTCATAAGATCGTTTTGTCACGTACCCACCCCCCCCCCCCCCCAGAGATGTTTCACACGTCGTGTTTTTTTGTTGTGTTGACGGAGTATTTAACACACAGTCATAGTGACCCAGCCTCAATAGGGGCCAATTCACATCAGTGGCAAATATCATCACCCCTCGGCATGTGCGATCATTGTCCCCTCCTAGCAGACTAATGCCCCAGGTCACTTTTGCAAGGGAGAACATCATGGTCTCTTGAGTTCTTAGCTGATTATGCCATATAAACTTAAACTTGACTTTTTAAAGAATCCCTTACTTTATCCACTTGAAATCATCCACCATTGCGGAGGAATGCTTGGAATGTCATCGTCATGAGCAATTGGAATGCGTGGAGTAGATGTGGAAAGACAGTTTTGTAAATGGAATGTAAAACGAGGTGGTGATGGGTGGACCACGTGCCGTGCAGGATGGAGGGCAGGTTAGTGACAGTGAAACTAATAAGACAGTGACCAAAGAATAAATCCAAAACCAGATGTTGGGCTACATTAAAGAGCAGACCAGGAAAGTCAGGCATTGACTGGCCTGACAGAATGAGGGTGAGGTGTGGTGGCGACGGTGGAATTAACTGAGTTGACCTTAATATCATCACTATGCATTAATGGATACTTTAGTTGTGGTATCTTCACTCTTAGCTTTATTATTACTGCCAATGTGTCTCTCTAAAGCTCGTATATTACTGCTGACCAATAAAAGCAAGATTGCTTGTATTACCCCTAAATAAATGTCTGTCAATGCTGTACAAGGTGTAATCACCATAAATACACACGAGCAAGTGAACTGAAGGTCTTGTGTGTGTGTGCGTGTGCTCTCTCATAGAGGCGCCAGGCCACCGAATACCGCTTCTTGGCCCAAAACTCAATCGACACGGATGAGTCTTCGGGAATGTCAAGTGGAGAAGACCCAACCTGGGATGATCAGGAAGAATCTACCTTGGATGACGAAGATAGCAGCATTTCCTCAAGTGAAGATGATTACTTCTCTGGCTCGGGGTCTGGCTCAGGCTCAGGTACTAAACGTAACAACAATAAAAAACTAAGTTTCCCCCGCATAGCCTGAACAGACCGTTGGGGCAAGGGCTGTTAGCGAGCACCTATGAAGGCTGGCACGGCACACAAGAGGGTGGGTTGCCAACACCATGCCCGGCCGCCTTTATCTCCCCAGTGGTAATGTTTACGCACTACACTAGGTACTCATGTGAAGCTGAGTCGACCTGGTAGGTCGGGGGGAGGGGGGCATGAAGAGTTCAGATAATTGTCACAGGTGTTTGCTGTGAGCGGGAATCTAACTCAGGTTGCCCAGTTCGTAGGACTAAGCGTAACACAGTCACTCACGCACAGACAAAGGTGTATTGCTGTGAATCAAATTGTATTCCCAGCAACTTCTAAATGTAGACATAATGGTGGTGGTGTAATGGGTGAGCACACCAGACATCCAATACAAATGTCACGGGTTCAATTCGATCTCCCAATACAGCAGTTGAAACAAGGAGCTGGTTTATTATATCCCCACACCCTCTGTTCACCTCTGTGCTTTTTTATAGTTTCAACTGAATGAGAAGACATGATGCAATATTGCTAATATAACTCTGATGTGTGGGTGTTCTGCGTTATATATTATCTGTTCGCTGCAACGTACTACACCCCCAGTTATATACTTACCGTACAGTACTATATTTCAAGTTTATTTTGTTCAGTGTACTCGCCTCGTGGGTATTTAGCGATAAACCATTCGACTTAATCCAATTGGCTAGAAATATATGTACACTTTTTAAACACATACTGCATTATAGTTTAACTATCTTCACAGCTCCTTTCTAGTTATAAGTCAGATGAGAGGTTATTCTTTTCAGAAAAACTTATTTTCCTCCAAAACAGCCATTTCTGCAGAAATTTGTGAAAATTTGGCCATTTTATGTTGAATATCAGTGGAAACTACCCTTATGAAGGCACATTAGTTGAGCTCAATGTTTATTTTCCGTATGCATTGACTGATCATCGTGCAGAAATTAATGTTTTAGTGCACGACTCTCTTGACTAATTTAAATTATGCTCGCTTTTTTTCATGTCCAGGTGATGCTGATGCGGAATCGGAGGAGGATGAGACTCCCGACAGCAGTGAACAGGAAGAGGAGCTTCAGGTATAACTTAATGATTTCCATAAAGCACTGGCGAAAATGTTTTTTGCAAGTTGTCTACAAATGATTTGGTGGAACGCAATGCAGAATGAAATATTCTCACTGCAGTTGACACGGAAGAATGTATTAAATCTCATCAGATAGGGAGGATAGAAACAAGTGCCACATTCAACTTTAGTTTCTACCTTCAAGAAGCCATGCTTGCAACATTCGGAGCCATTCAAACCACACACGTCTCTCTGTAATCTGTAAAATTAGTCGGGTGACCGAATCCTCGTCGGCGATTAATTTAGCCCATCATCCCCTCCAGTTTTGGTAAAATGCTACCACTTTGTGGGAGGAAAAAATAGGTTGTCCAGTGGATAAACCTCTCCTTATGCAATTTACACAGCTCGCTCAGGACCACCAACAGACATGAGCACCACGATTATTTGGTGGAGTAATTGGACAGTCTTTGGTGTTTCTTGTTTTCATTCCCATAATCCAAAATATAAACTGCAAGCACGTGTTTTATGCAAGGCAGCATGATAAATCATAACACACTGTTCCTTAATACGGTACACATTGTAATATTGTATGCACCCAGACATGAGCTTGGAGAGTGAGGTCATATATATTATAAAACACACGAAAACTATTACGTAAAAACTGGAATTCCAAGTTCATTCGTTGAAGGGGAAAATGCGGATGGATTTTGAATAGTTAAGTCAATTATAATCTTCTTATTGTGTTTATAAAGAACACCGGTTGATCTGGCTTGCAGGTGGAACAAAGTAAAGACCTGAATACGATCCCAGATGATGACGAGAAGGAAGAAGATGAGAAGGAGTCCAAAAATGATCTTGGCGAGAACTACGATGAGGAAGAGCCGAACGGAATCAGCGTTCCCAAAAAGACGCCACGCATCAGCACCGACATGGACAACAAAGTTGAGACATACGTCATGGCTCAGAAGAAAGGCTCCCAGAATCCCCTTGAAAGCACCGAGGTCCTGGCAGGTAAATGTTTCACGCCACACGCTTCTGTAGCGACATTTTCAATCTGTTTGACTCCGAAAAAAATAATCCTGCTAATTCATTATGAACTACACCGCTATAAATGCAGCAGCAGTAGTGCTGTGGTACAAGTGCACGCATCACGCCCTTCACCGCGAGCTCACTTAGTCATTCGAAATTGCCTTCTCGTCTTGACCCGTATTTGTTTAACCAACTTTAACGACAGTATCCCCTCGTTATTCGCGAGCGATACATTCCGGACATGCTCGTGAATAGGACGGATAATTATATTTGCCTATGTAAACCTATCGTTTTAATGAATTACCTTGAATAAATAGATAAATAAGCTATTAAATGCATAAACATGAGTAAATATATATAAATATAAAAGTATCTCATCATCCTTTCTTATCACCTTATCTCATCACTTTCTTTCTCTATTTCTCCTTCTCTCGATGCAGTCGTGTAGAGTTCCAGATGCGAGTTTAACACGTAGGCTTTTGTGACCGATATCCATCATAAAAAAAGATTGGTAAGGTTTGTCACGTAAACAATGTGATTCACCGATATCCAAAATTTTGGATAGGAAGTCCGTGAAATAGCGAGGGAATATTGTACGTAATAACATTCTTGATTTGAAGCTTTCGTGACTGCAACGATTCATATTCTTAGGTTTTTCGGTAAAGTCACGTAGGTAAAAAAATTTATTTAATAAAAGTAAAAAAAAATCACGACGTTTCCGAGGCAACACAGACCGAAATGTCGTGATTTGTATATTTTATTTTTATTTTACTTTTATTAATTTAAATTTATTACCTACGTGACTTTACCGAAAAAAACCTAAAACAATGTAATAACATCCTCTCGAAATTAGCTCCATTTTGAGACGTAACATCGCTATCCCAGTCCCTGTACGTGGTCACACATTAACATATACATCACCATCTAACAAGACAACCTATTGATTTAAATGTCAAGTGTTTAGCATAATTCCTTTCAAATTACAGTTTTCGTAGACTTATAATTCCACATAGTGTGATTTCCACTATTATTTTTGTAATAGATGATCATCATTAAAGTGATAACCAAGACAGCGTAGCCCATTGCTTTTTGGCACAGCTGTCTGGAATTTAATAGATTATGGCTTTAAACAGTTACCAATTAAGTCAGGTATTTAATAATTGTTTTCTAATTCAAAGTTTAAAAAAATATATAACTTTGAAAGAGACACTGGACTTGGAACCTGAAGTTTGTAGTTACATATTATTGGCATATTCCTCCAGTGCTATCCCAACTAGTGCGCGTTTTGCTTTGTTACACTTTTATGCAGCATCGTTACTAATCGGCATTAGCCACACTGCTTGTGCTAGAGTTGCTCGACTGTGTTTTTATAAATCTCGACCGAAAACAACACTTATATTTCTGGCAACTTAGACAATGATTCTGTGCCCTCATATCTTCGTATAGTGTGTCTCTCTTTACCATGGAGTAGAAATGCACATACATTGTAAATCGCAATTTCACCATTCAGGACTTTCTACATATCGGAATATATGTTACAGTTCAGCTTTTCGTTGAAATACGAAAAATTACTTGTGATTATTTTACCAATATTACTATTCATCAAGTTATATTTTAGTAGTATTGTATTTCTTTGTACTCCTTATGTATTAGGCTATTCGTATGCCTGATCACATCAGTTCATGGAAGCTAATCATGTTTTGAGCCTGGATAGTGCTTGGAAGGGCATCCACAATGGATAACAGGTGTTATGGGCTGCAGACTTACATCTGTGGGCAATAGATGGCAGTTCAGCAAAATCCATTGTTCCGCTGTACTTCTGCACTGCGCGACTTTCCAACTCACACTTGACCAGCATGGGGAGATACTAATCTAGCAGTGTATTGACAAAAGGGTCATTTGCAAGATTGTAAATGTTCCTCGTGTGAAATGTCTGGGGGCTATTGCCTCTGCTGACTGAGTCAGAAGCACTGACATTGAGTTCAAATTTCAGTCAAATATTAGTCACCCAAAATGTCAATAGTTCTCAGTCAGCAATGACGAGCAAACAAAAAAGGCCATATTATTAAATATATATATTGTTATCACATGACTCCCTTGAAGACCACATGAAACGGAGCATCCACGTGGTGGATGCACGAGAAGCTGTTGGAAACACATCAAAAGTAATTTGTTGGACGTCACCCCTGAGTGCCGGGCGTGCTTGGGAGTAGCAGTGAACGTGGGAATTGATGTGCCTCCTATGTCACCAACATCATGGTCACGATGGTGCAAAAATAAAGCTGACACACGATTGTTGTCACCGTTGTTGTAATCGTTGTTTTCATGTTTGTTGTCGTGTTTGCCTGCAGCGGTGATCGCGGGCGGTGTCGCGGGTCTCATGTTGGCCGTGCTGCTCATCGTCTTCCTCGTCTACCGCATGCGCAAGAAAGACCAGGGCAGCTACATGCTGGGGCGCCCCGCTGCCCAGCCATACCAGCGCACCAGCGACCAAGAGATCTACGCATAGGGCTCGCAAACCGACTGTTTTAACCAACCCCGCAACTCATCACGATCATAATAATCTAAGAAGTAAAAGTTGGAACATGTAATGTGATACACGTTCCTCAAGTTGTAAAATATCAGCCTATATTAAGCTGTTGTTGCTGAGAGGTTATGAATCAAGTGTGCTGGTTTTTAGGGTACCGTGCAGGGTTGGCAATACATTAAAAAGGATGGAAACTTACCCGGCTTTTTTAATCGTTTATTGACCCAACAGGTGACAAGACTGATTAAGGGACATTTTGTTTTTAAGCAAAGACTGCCAGAAATTAACTGTTGTTGATGAAGTCATTTATTGACTTTATCTTCTGACTGGTTGGAATGTATGATTCACAAAACACTTAAAACAGGTGCATTATCAGTTACTGAAGACTAATTTACATAAGCTAGCAAGCCTGTAAGAATAAAGCCAACGAGCAGTCATTGTACTACTGACTAGTGTAGCATGCAAGGGTTTTTATAAATATTCCTTTGCCCTAAAACCATATTCTTTTTTACATTGACATGTTGCCTGGATTGTTTGTGCGTAGCCTTTGACATAGACATTTAGGGTTTAACACAATGGCCCGTTTTTGTTGATGTTTTATATTGCCTTCATGAAATGTTAACCCATACATGTTTTATTCTAACATGATACAGGAATCTATTAATTATGTAAATAGGGATTATTTTAACATATAACTTATACCGATTGTTCATTTTAATTAGAATAATTTCTATATGTTGAATGTTTTATAATTTCCAGCATGTCTGCTTGTTACGCTGGTATTTACAGTGTCCAAAAAACAAACAAAAAATAAAGTTATTTAAGTAGTTTTCATTCAGTACTCTCATTATTTGAATAGCTGCAAAGAATTATATTTTCTATATTTGTCTTGTTTTTATTGTAGTGTTGAATATATCTCTGCTGTGTAAATGTCATATCAATTTAAACAACAAAAGAAACACCGCGATGTGAATGTAGTTGGTGCTCTTATTAACACAAAATAGCAGGGACGCGGAGGTCATGGACACAGTCACTCTCGAATGGACCTGTTTTGTGTGGGGGCCACATCCAATAACACGAAAGCACGTCTGATTGCACTTTACTGTAAATGTGTGTGTTCCCATTATATTAGCAATCATGTGAAAACAAATATATAGTTTAAGCAGCCCAAGTGAAACAAAACCTAGAGTTATTATTTCGACACATTTGTGTAAAATACACTTAATAACACTGCAATGTATGCAGACGCAGTAATAGGTACTTGTGATTATTAAGTAGGTAATCTCTCGAGAACTGTTTAATCGAATATCAATTGTCTTATGAACAGATCCAGTGGATGCGTAGAAGCTATGTTACATATCGGAGACAGGAGTTTGTAAACCTTTGGCATTTGCAAACACAGCATGCGCTGTATAGCTGTTGTGCAGAATTTGTCTTTAAGCGTGTTTCGTTTAGAATCCCCCCCCCACATGACTGCATGCTTTTGTGCAAATGCCGACAGCTTACATCAACCCTGGGGAATTTTACAACTTCTGTAAAGTTTCTTGAAAACTTTGCAACCACCACGAGTCATTTTTGTTTTAAAACAAAGAATACTCCGTAAAGGGGTGCATTGCCTTGTTTTCTTGGACTTGTTGACGTTTAAAACGAATAACTTGCTTTCAAGTAAAACATGCTGAGATGAAAACAAAGTCACCGTGAGAATACTTCGCAAAACGAATGTATTCGCCTGCAGATGTTTTTGTGCAACTAAGCCCAAACGTTTCGTGTGCAACCTAAGGTCACACATTTTAACTTGTCCATTGGGTTAAAGGGATGAATTGGGACGGAACATTTAACACTCAAACATGACTTGGCAGAGGTAGATCCTACCAGCTACTTAATTCAAATTAACATACTCGATCATACTCGTCTACTCATGCTACTCAGGCTTCCGTTGTAACTAAATATTTAAATTCTCTACTAAGGATATATTGCAAGATAAGTCAGGGGTGTGTCTTAAGTGCATTTAAATCAAAGACTGAATATTTTCTCAGAGCTTCAATGATTTTGTTTTGCCTTTGTATGATTGTCTCGTTGAAGAATATCGCTAATTTTAGTATGTGTAGGTTGATGGCATTTAAAAAGAAGAAACTCAACATTCCAGTCAGATGAATGTCACCTGCCTGAGAAGTACACAACAGGGAGTGCCATTGTCAAGTACAGGTTTTGTGAGTGATGTTCAGCTGTGACAGTATATTAAGCAAGTTTCCATACCTGACGCTACAAACATAGTTTTTGGCTTACGTGTGTGTGTGAACATGATGGCGTATGTTTCACACATTTACTGAATGGGTGATACATGCTGAGGTACTGATGCAAATACACCAAAATGTAACAACAGATATGTTGCTTTGTGTGTACAGATGGTAGAGTTTGTGTGCATTTGAATGCAAATGAGCATGTTTGTAGAACTCACCATGCAATCCTGGGTCAGTACGAGCAGATACAATTGAGCAATGTTCATATGTGCAGTTGGTGGTGCATTGAATATTAAAGTACACATTTTTTTGTACAAAATACATTCCTAGTCTTAATATGATCTAATTTAATACTAGACCAAAGGATATTCACAATGTAAGCATTTATTATAGCCTAATAAATATGTTCTCTTTTGATTTCCATAGACACTGAAAGTTTTGTACTTCAAACGTCGTGTTTCTAAGATGAAAATAAATTGTACCAAAATTGTCATTGATAATTGAGTCTCTGGATTTCTAAAATGTTAAAACAATCTTGGCTTTCGTGAATACAAAACTACATGTGGAAATGTACGTTATTAAGGCGTGTTAGCAAGTTGCGAATTCAGTGAACCTTGACATAAAAACAAGTTAATTAAAAATTAGAACATGTTTTTTTTTTACTTTTACTGTCATTGTGACCCTCTGTAAAGCACGATTTCCCCAAGGCAGTTGTACAAAACATCACTATCTTACTTTTCTGTCAGTGCCAGTTCTATGTATGTGTATATATACAGTAATTAAATAATGTTTTATGAACCTGTTATTATGAAGGGCTTGCTCGTGTTCAGTAATGATACAAAAAATATCAATTTCCATAGCGCCCTAACATGGAAAGCCATTACAAGGGCGTGGAAACAACAAACACATTCAACATTCGTCATTAGTCCATTACAATGAGAAACGATGGCCACAGAAAACGACTCCAGAGTCTCCAAAATACCCTCCTCCACAGAGTCGTTTTCACCGGCTCCATCTCCCACGAGCTCTTCACGCCTTGTACAGGAGCTGCACCCGCTTACCAGTGCACTAGAGAGTCCAGTTGAAGGTCGCAGTGTTATTCGCTTTCATGGCACAGAAAACCCGGTCAGCTAGCCTCTCTAAGCGATGCCATCCACCCATACGTACCCGTCACACAAAAAAGAAACCCACGCTCAATCTGCTATGGACCTGCTGAGTATGAAATCCACTCTGCTTGGGACAGCAGAACGGAGCTTTTACGGCTGCACCCGCGTGGTCTCTGACAAACAGAAGTCCGCTGAGCCGTGATAATCACTGCCTTATAGGACCGAATTAAATACGTGTCTTTTCTCCTTTTGTTTAGTTTCACGTAGTTTAATTCTCCCAGTGCCATCGTCGCTTCGTCTTAGCTTTGTTTTTTGCTGAATACAGGTGGCGCGTTGTCAATCTTGGATTGATTGATGCCTCACTTGAGTCACATGCCGCGCAACTGGTTATTTCAGTTGACATTCATTTCTAATAAAAGCCCGGCGTTCCGATAAGTGCGTCCGTTTGTCCGTAAACTGCATTATAAGATTCTAGATTTGAAGCTTTCGTGACTGCAAGGATTCATATTCTTGGGTTTTTTCGGTAAAGTCACGTAGTATCTACTGACTCTATATATACCTACACAGCCTACATACAATAGAGTCAGTAATATCAGTAGTATGCTGGTGTGGACTCGAGTCATGTGACTTGGACTCGAGTCAGACTCGAGTCATGAATTTGATGACTTCAGACTCCACTTGGACTTGCATAACAATGACTTTGTCCCACCTCTGGTAGTATCTAATGGCTCTATGTTTGCTGACACAGCCTACGTGCAATAGTCAGTCGTATCTGCACACATGGGGCGGGCATCAGTGGGGTCGACGAGCGAGGCGCGTATTGCCAAGAGGCCCTCCTCCAGAGCTAAACTTCCGGCGGCTGCAGGCCACCGAAATTCTAATACTGGTAAAAATTTAAAATTTAAAATTAATAAAAGTAAAATACTTTTATTAATTTTAATTTTTTACCTACGTGACATTACCGAAAAAACCCAAGAATATGCATTATAAGAGTCTTTCAGAAGGCCTGAATCAAAAAGTTATAGGAATTGGACCCCCCAGATGTGAAGGTTAAAAGTTCATCCAACAGTCAACAGGATCACTGACTCCATATGCCGACACATCCTACATACAATAGAGTCAGTAGTGTCTGACATTATATGCCTACACACCCTACATACAATAGAGTCAGTAGTATCTGACTCCATATGCCGACACATCCTACATACAATAGAGTCAGTAGTATCTGACATTATATGCCTACACATCCTACATACAATAGAGTCAGTAGTATCTGACTATATATGCCTACACATCCTACATACAATAGAGTCAGTAGTATCTGACTATATATGCCTACACATCCTACATACAACAGAGTCAGTATTATCTGACATTATATGCCTACACATCCTACATACAACAGAGTCAGTAGTATCTGACTATATATGCCTACACACCCTACATACAATAGAGTCAGTAGTATCTGACTATATATGCCTACACATCCTACATACAACAGAGTCAGTAGTATCTGACTATATATGCCTACACATCCTACATACAATAGAGTCAGTAGTATCTGACATTATATGCCTACACACCCTACATACAATAGAGTCAGTAGTATCTGACTTTATATGCCTACACACCCTACATACAACAGAGTCAGTAGTATCTGACTATGTATGCCTACACAGCCTACATACAACAGAGTCAGTAGTATCTGACTATATATGCCTACACATCCTACATACAATAGAGTCAGTAGTATCTACTGACTCTATATATGCCTACACAGCCTACATAAAATAGAGTCAGTAGTATCAGTAGTATCTACTGACTCTATGTATGCCTACACAGCCTACATACAATAGAGTCAGTAATATCAGTAGTATCTACTGACTCTATGTATGCTGACACATCCTACATACAATAGTCAGTTGTATCTGCACACATGGGGCGGGCATCAGTGAGGTCGACGAGCGAGGCGCGTATTGCCAAGATGCCCTCCTCCAGAGCTAAACTTTCGGCGGCTGCAGTGCCACCGAAATTCTAATACTGGAAACCTGGGCAACTCAAGGGAACAGTCAACGAATGCAATGTATTCGACTTCAACAAAACCACGTAATGAAATTATGCAGTTGTAATCTGATGCTCGTCGAACACAAAGGGCACACTAATCTCCATGCAGGGGCTCAATTTATTTCGAGAGTACGGTAGTCATATAGGTCACATTGATGCAGAGATCTAATGATTATAACTGCATTGTTTTGTCAGTCTTAATGTTTAGGATCTTTTTTTGCAAAGCACACTGGCTAACATAGAGCCTTAAGGTTTCTGCAAATAGCAGAAACTGCTCCAACAAAAACCGTGAATGGTTATACACTTTAACAAACTTTATTATTGGAACAAAAAAAAGGTATTTCCAAAGTCCAACACTATGACCGGTGTGACCTAATTGAACATGCAGTCCCAGCACTTTTAAAGTTGTGTAACTAGAGCCGCAGTACAGTATATCAATACTTTGCTTTATTACAAACGTCAGGAACAAAATGTGCTTCCACATCATTGAATATGTTTGAAACAGACCCAATTTTCTGAGGCTTGATCATGTTAATCATGACAATACAGGCTGGTAATTTTAATACTAACATCAACTTTGCAACACTATGGGCGTGTTTTTTTTCAAATTGCTAACCCACTTATTTTACAATAGGTAATACAGTGTAAATGGTAATGAATATGGAGTTCTGTATTCAAACTTGGGCAGCTGGCGTAGGGGATTTTATTTCACAAGTCAAATGAGATTGCGAATGCAGCACATTTTTAATGAATATCCCAGGCTGAGTGAAGTAGGGTGCGGCTTAATTTCCGCCTCTGTATTTACGTGGGCCATCTCCCAAAGTGGCATATATCTGGCTTAACAAGCACCACAATTCAAGTCTTACAGAGATATGAGCAGACAGGTAGACTTGGCACGGCACTTAATTCCACTCACGGAGAATTGTTTTTCTATATCATGCAGCAAGGCATAGGGATGTTCTTTTTGTATATAAGTATTTTTACAATAGGAAATCCGAAATGAAAAGGATGACAGCACAGCATTCGGATGAAGATCACAAAAATGTTACGGTTAATTCCGTGAAGGCAGTTGTATTCCTCCAGTCTACGTCACTGCCCACCTATGGTTATGATTGCACCTTCTGTTAAACAATTGTATCCTGTCTGAGTTGGTCATGTCAAGCTTTTCCACATCCTCGTTATGTCACACATTGTCCCTTAAGTCTATGGGCCCCATTCACATCTTGAAGAATCGGTCAAAACTCGTTGCCTTGGTGATTTGCCCCATTGTTGGCACGGAGACATCGGTGCTTTTTCACGAAACATCTCAGCAATATTTGCCAAAACACAAAACAGGGCCCCGTATCATGAAGTCCAAATATGTAGAGTATCACTGAAGTCTGGGAGTAAATCTCGTCGATTATTTCCCCAAACACCAGACCTTGGCTCGTTGTCCATTTGTCTACGTTTAGCCATCATCTCCATTCACACATAAAGCATCCATGATGTTATTTTTTGGTGAACATGTAAAGTTGGAATGGAGCTTGTGAATCAGTCACAGGCATGGTAGAATGTTGCATAACAATTGTTTTTCTAGACCTATGAACCAGTTAAACCTACTGTGCACCATACTTTAAAATGTTCCTTTAAAAATAAATGTAGATTTATGACCAAGCCAAGTAACTAAGCAGGTTAAATCAGAACACAACATGATGTGTGTATTCTTATATTACCTGTTAGAGCCACCACACCTGTGGAGATACATATCCATATGAGATTACTAGAGCTCCCCTACCCATTGTGACAGCAAGCCGCGCGGTTTTAATTCGTAGTCTGCAATGCCACAATGGTCTCATTTTAATACCCTGATTATTTTCAAACTATAGCAGTGAAGGTTAGGCGAGGTGCTGTTGTATAACCACGTGGATGTAAAGCAATTGCTTTATTCATGTCTACTGAGTCCTCTGCAATGACGTTGGGGCCTGAGGAAAATATGAATGTATTTATAAGGATACCCTTTATATTTAACTGACTGTTGTTTACCACCTAGTAGTACTTATTGTAATGTATCCTACATGCTGAATGTATTCGCATTAACTCTCAATTTCCTCAATTGTGAAGTTTTCTGGAAAATGTAAAAAAATTGTCATACGTTGTATCTACTCAGCTCTTCTGAGAAACATGGGGTGGTATTGAACGCAGTGATTCAAAAGATGTCTGTAAACGGGACATGAAGAGCTGCGACATCAACCCAAATGACTGGGAGAAAACTGCCGGCGACTGACTCATCTGGCAGCAGGCTGTGAAAACAGGCCTCAGGAGAGGCGAGGAGAAAGGACACACC